CACGTATATCCAGGACATCTCTTCTGAACCAAGACGAAGTGGTGCTACAAAGGAATTATTTCTTTAGGAGAGTGCATTTAATAGCAGTCCGGCCTGCAACAAAATGCACTGCTAAAAATACAGTTTCTGCTTGTCCCAGGATTTATTAATTTTGAGAGTGAAGTTGTAGGACTGATGCTGGTTAGTGGTGTAGGTTTCATGGATGTGACACCTTAACTTGTGTAAAATGACGACCAGAGCATATTATTAGGTTAGTTCACTGTAGTTAGGCAGAGGTGTCTTAAAAAGTACCACCTTATACAAAACAAATGAAGGTCCAGTATAAGAAAGAATAAGAAGAGAAAAAAAGGAACACCCTGCTAAATGAAGTCATTTTTAAACATTACTCTAAATGTAGCCATTAGTTTTTGTTGCTGGCCATACAAAAAATAAGTATACTTCAATTATATTTCCCAAGTATACCTTAACTAGTACGTATACTAATAATGCTTCTTGGGACTATATTGGCCCCCGTTTTAGTACATAACAGTATTCTTGAAATTAACTTTTAGATGTACTTTTTGTTCACCATAATTGTACTAGCATAATGTCATAATGTCTACAAAAGTATAATTAAAATATACTCGACTCTATCACAATACTAACCTTACAGTATTAATAATGTTTCACATTGTTTGAATAAACAAATACATTTATTAATATGTGAGGTTCCATTCAGCTCAAGGAATTAAATTTTAGTGTGGCTGCAACTTACTCCTTAAGTTAAAAAAATGATGCTGTATATTGTAGTTTATATGTTATACTACTTTCACAGTGAATCACATTTTATAGTAATACACTCTGAATGAGGATTTAAGTAATTACTCTTAGATCTACAGTAGAAAACAACAGAAATCCGGATGGTGTAATAGTATAATCTCAGTAACATCACCAATTGTTACATTTGCTGTATTTTACAGCTGTTTCCATGAGTACGGTGAGTTACCATAAAAATAATGTAATCTCATGGAATTTTCCCACAATTACATGCAAATTACAGTACTAAACTGCTAACATCCTTTAGAGTTTTTTTACTGTTGATTTTGCAGTACTAAGCTATGGAAATTACTGCAAAGGCTAACAGTGTGAAATTTAATTTGATTTGTTTTTTAACTGATGGGGGAGTTGGGATTTTGAAGATGCTTGGCCTAACAAAAAATATTGATTAGTAAAATGGCATAATTACCTCTGATTGCATCAGATATTTGAATGCATATTGATACTCTTGAAATGCTTTGCAAATACTTCCTGACTAAGATTCAAAGGAAGACTGTGTTAGATATTATCAACACAAGCAACACTAGCCTTAATCGCAATTGCTATATCTGCTCACAACAAACATTCAACCTGACAGTAAGTGGTGCGTTATAGTAAAGCATGAATGAGTGTACATGTAGCATAAAATAGTTGTTCTTTGGCTAGAACAATTACCATGACATAAAACTGGTGTGATGTTCACAAAGTCAAATTTCTCAGTGTTCTTCAGTGGAGAAACAATATAATAAATAATCTTATTCCAATATAGTATCTGTACCGACATTTCTTTTCTTTTCTTCTTTTTTGCCTGTCCCGTCTGGCAGTAGCAATCAGAATTATTGTCTAAAGCCCAATAAAAATCCCCAACAGATTTGATTTTCCCAAGTAGATCATTAAGGCTTTGCCATACTGGTCCACTTAATTGATCTTTATCATTAATTGACTGATTTATTGATTTATTTAAAAACATATTTTTTTCAAACTTTTAAGTTATTACAATTGGAACAGACAGGACCAGGGGGTAGGCAAGAAAAAGACGTAGATGGAAGTTCAAGAAAAGGAGAGAGAAAGAAAAACAGAGGGGAAGAGAGACAGAGAGAAAAGACACTAAAAATCATAATCTGCTGGAAAAAAGAAAACAAGAAAAATAAGAAAACACAGTAGGGAAACCACAGCAACAACCTATAAATAACAGTGAATAATAAATATTGAATGCTGAGTGGCACACAAGACGAACAATGCTCGATATGCTTAGAGGCAGCAGCCAAGGAAAATAGTGTGTGTCTGTGAACACCCGTGCACACGGGTGAAGCACACATGGAGGAGATCCAGAAACCAGACATCTGGAGGCACGAGAGCCCAAGGATGAAAACTGGAGGGGCAGCCGCACCACCACCCTAGAGAAGAGCTGAGGCGGGTCACCCAGCAGGTACGGTGCAGAAGCCACAGGGGGCTGCGGTGACAGACTCCACCATGTTTCAGGCTCCACTGAAACACGGTGGAGCCTGCAGAGCCCCCGGGGCCAGAGACCCAAGATCCGAGGGTCCCCCACCCCCAGAAGGGGCCCGACTGAGCCACGGGCACCAGGCACCGCCAAGAAGCCGCCGGGAGTGAGCCAGTACACACTCCACCACCCAGACCTGGACACCGAGAACCACTAACGCACCCGACAAGTGGGGACATCAGCCAGGTGGGGGGTGACACACCTGAGGGGGCCTGAGATGTTCCCAGAGAAGTGGAGTTTAAGACCCGACCTGACACAAAGACATAATCAGGCAAACACAGACACAAACATGCCTTCCCACCCTCATACATACATATACAAATAGTCAACAGTCAATAGTCGTCCAATATGGAGAAAAACAGAAATGAACACTGTATACGCACTCACACTCCCCAAACATATTTTATACCCCCCAGGTCCAGGTGGAGACAAGCAGACTAGGGGTAGGTTTTGATTATCGATTTTCTTATTAAAATCAATTCTAGCTTGAATAGCGTAATATTGATTCATTAAAATCCTGAATCAATTTTCAAATATAAATTTATTTTGCCCGAAACGCCAGAATCTCAGGTTAAAACTTCACAAAATTTTGACAAACACCAAACAGTTGAAACAGTAAATGAGAGCAGGTAAACAGATTCCACAAAAATATGTAAACACAAAGCACAGACCAGACGCATCAGAATCAGTGAGATGTTGGCTTTCTCACCTGATGGCACGTACATGGACACGCCATTGGGGCTGAAAGCAGACAGCTTGCAGATTCTGATGTGTTGGGTCCGTGATTTGTGTTTACATCTTTTTTTGGAATCTGTTTACCTGCTCTCATTTACTGTTTCAACTGTTTAGATTCTGATGCTGCAGGTTTCATCACTCTCCAGTCAAATTTGACCAGCACCAAAGAAGTCCAAACTACTCTTCACACTTCGCTTCACATTTCGCTTCACATAAACCTCGTCATGAATTCCCTCTTACTTTTGCTGTTTTGCTTCCACCACGATAAAATGACACTTCATGCACAGCTCTCTCTCTCTTGCTCTCTCTCAGTGTACTTCAAGAACAGTTTCCCATCTAAAAATCTCTGTTTTCTGCATTATTCCTTGCTTATTACCCACCAGTCTACTGTTATGTACAGTGCTGTCAGCCACTGACTTCCGACAAGAAACTCTCTTTTCTACTGTTCAATACTGAAGAAATTTAAACTTTTTATAATTATGCAAAATTGCAAAACACTTAGCTGTGTCTCTAATTAAACCACTGTAACTTGGGTCTGCTTCACTTCAGCAGCATCAGGTAATGTTTATATGATGATTCACGGTTTTCTTCAGTTTTTGTTCTACTGCAGAACGTTTTTGTTCTACTGCAATATTTTTAAGGTGGTTATCTGCCATAAAAAGCTAGGCCAGGAAAATCTCCCTCATGTTTTTCTGTGTTTTATGCTCAGTTACTTTGACACAAAGGCATCTGCTGTGATGCTTACACCTTTGATAAAGTCTCACAAGTGTCAGCTTTGTTTTTATTGATATAAAAATATGGATATGTACTGAAAAATGATCAGGATTATAATGTTTATGACTGTCTGGGGCAAAATTTCCCCAATTCAAATTGTATCAAATCGAATCGTGGATTGAATCGAATCGTGGATCAAATTGAATCGAATCAACTCTAGAAATCAGTGATGATACCCAGCCCTAAAGCAGACTGCCCCCGGTCGGGCAGCAGCAGGGAAGCCCAGCATTCCAGACCCCAATCAGACTGCCAACTCCTCCTGGCCCCCCACCCCAGATGGCGAACAGAGAACAGGAGTGTGAAAACCCCATATCTCACTCCGGCCGCTCGTATGTGGTGTTGCAGCTTTCTGTTCTAAAGTGCATTTAAAACATGGAAGGGGCATGATAATCTCTGCCAGAAAGCAGCTGGTATCAGCACAGCCCCTCCAGAGAACAATGTCTAAATGTATTTACTATGTATTAACTCAGGGCCTTCTTGTGGTGAGGTGACAGTGCTAACCACTGTATATCTGTGTAATCCTATTCAGATACTTTCTATCTATGCTCTGAAACATGTCTGCAACTTATGAGAAATATGGGAAGGTCAAACTGGATATGAGTGCTCCAGGGTCTTCCTCCCTGTGCAGATATTGAGAGAAACTATGATCATTTGCAAAAAGCAAAGATGTGATGCTTTTTAATATTGTTCACTACATCAGGGACAAGAATTTGCTTTTATTGTGGATGGACATCATGCTATGAAAATGGAAAAATGCCCTTGACCTTGAGGATATTTTGGATGTAGATCTATTATGTGATCATTGATTATAAGTTTAATTAAATTCTGACAAATGGTCTAAGAGGAATAGCTGTTCTTGTGAACTGTGAATGGATGAGATGAAAGAGGCCTCGCCATGGTGTGAGTTTACAGGTCCTTTGGCTGCATAAGCTAATAATAAAACCACACTGAACATGCAACTTTATAAACTGTATTTTGTGCCTTTTTCTGTGACCTGCAGAGAGAAAGAACTTTGACAAATCATGTGACAGCATATCTTGTGAGAACCAATAACCTTTTGGTGGTAACAAATTAAAGCTTAGGTATTCATCAGGATGATTGAGAATTATTCTTATGCATAAGCTAGTGGTCCTCAAGATATTTTGCTCTGTTGCCTGTGGTAAATTCTGATGCATCTTCTCTTTATTTGCAGGTTATGAGCATCCTGAGTAACTCCAGTGGTGTGTCCTCACAAACACAGCACGATTTCCCAATCTCACCTCTCCACAGCACTCTGGACTCTACTTCATCCAACAGTATTTCAGCCAGCTGCAGCCAGCGTTCAGCTGAGGCCTCCATTAAGACGGTGGACAGCCTTCCCTCTTCCCAGTCTTACTGTCCCCCCACATACAGCACCACCAGCTACAGCATGGACCCATCTGTGGCTGCTGCCGGCTATCAGTACAGTCAGTACGGCCAGAGTGAGTCCTACTACTTCAGATTAACTAACAAGAATAACTTTTAAATACTTTTCCTGGGTAGAGTTCCTTATGCTTTTCCCTTTGAGCTTAGTGGTCCTATTTTCACAAATTATGCTGGCAAACTACAATTACTAGTTGTCCTTCACTGCCACTGTATGCCATGGAAAAACAAAATAACTTTTGAGCAAACATTTAATAAACTAATTCATTCTGACATTCACTGAACAAAACCTTTACAAAGGGATCAGTATGCATGGAAAAGTTGTCATAACAGCATTAATGCAGAAAATAATAAGCAGCTCCTTTATACTTGTGTTGATAAAAGCTTACTTATTACTGAGTAATTTTCTCAGTCATATAGGTACCTGCCGATATTAATAATGCCGGAATACAGCTTGCTGGCACTTTTTAGACCCATTCTTTCTAATTTTCACACATGCTTCCTTTGTTCAAGAAAGTTCCTGTCACATACCAAGTATTTTTAATGGGTATCAATAAAACTCAATAACAGATATCTATAATAATAATAAAAACTTTCTAAAACATCGGTGCTTACAGATCTGGATTTTAAGCAAACACATCATGAATTTGAAAATGAAACAGCCTTAGCTGTTTTGTAGGCATTCTACAAGTTAAAAACTAAAAACATTTAAAATTATATATATCTTCACTTTATTCACTGTTTAAGGAATGTGTATTTATAAAATCATGATAGGGAGGTAACCAGTTAGGTATACGATTTATATCAGGATTGTTAATTCAGAGGCAGGCTGTTTTTCAGGTAAAGAAGCCACTTGATGAAAGACGAATTTATCAGTTGTTCTAACAAACAGGCCTCTAATACAGGGGATTACACAGCATCCACTCTACGTTAGGAGAGCCAAAGCTAGAATGACTCTTGTGATCAGAGGGACCAACAAAGTGTTTTGTTTTCATTTGAAAAATTTTGTTAGTCAGCCACTCAGACAGAAGTCTCTGTGCCAACGTTCTCTTCAGGTTCATTAGCCGATGTTTCAAATTAGAGAGTTCTTCTGTAAATAACCCATCAGCTGCAGTAACCCCTAACTTGTTAGGAATAAATATGGAACACATAAGAACACATAAGAAGTTCCATTCTATTTTTTCATGACATAGGCCTAGGTGCATGTATTTGTTGTCCCTAGAGAGAGTTTTCAGTGAAAACTGTAGAAAATTTTGTAAATCATTAATGGCTGTAATAGATGCAACTGATCCACTTATTATTTGTGTTGGTTTTCTAGAGTGGGTCCTATGAATTGAAGTAATGATATGTCCTGTGTTAAGTCCTGTTGGAATTTACCTTTTATACTCCTCAGGGACACCCCAAAGAACAACTGACATAACATTTATATATACATTAGAGCAGCGGTCCCCAACACCTGGACTATGGACTGGTACCGGTACCATTTATTTACAAACAGTATTTGCTCCAGGGAGATACAACACAATCTGTTACATTTAGCTCTTAAGGAATAACACCAGTTTTGGAGATTTCAAGGGTGGTGTAGGCCTTGTACAGTCATTTGATGGAATAAAATGATCACAAAACTCAGGAATTTTAGTCGACGTGCCAGAATTTGTATGTGTATTATCTTTGTCTTTATACCAAGCTTCTTATTAAATGCACGCACACACCGATTCCACTTTATTTTCTTTTTCCATTTTTCCCAGTGCTTCTTGCTCACTGGTAAAATACATACTCTGCAGCAACACAGTGCCATCTAGTGGCTGATGCAAACATAGGTCACATGTTACATCTCCCTTCTTTAAAAAAAAGAAGAAGAACAAAACAATAAAGCAACTCAGGCTTTTAAAATTTGTCAGGCAACTGAAATTACGGGAATAAACATCCTGAGCAACATCCATTAATAACATAGCATTCGGCTCAATACTGGCTACATCATTACCATAATAAACAGATGCATTTAGTGACATCATTGGAACAACAAACATGTGAACAGCTGTTTTTTTGTTTTTTTTTAGGGCAGCAATCTGCCTGCACCCTTTACAATATTACAGGTCCAAGACCTGTCTTGGTTTAGTAACACGCCCATATTGAGTCATGTATCCGGGTGTTGTAATGTCTTTATCAGGGGGCTCCACAGGCGGGGGTTGAGAAACCACAGCGCTGTCATTGCTGTTGACTGTTGATTGAATGAACTCCTCACCTCCTACGCTGTTTCTGCCTTCGAGGAGGTGATAAACTTGTCCTGTATCTGTGGTTATGTTGTAGCTTCTGGACGTGTCTGCACAACTCGTGACCACAGCTGGTTCCAGGAACCATCTTGTTGATGGAACCGGACCGGTGTGCCAGGATATAGTTGAGGCAGAGGTTGGGCTGCTCTGTTGAAATAAGTCTGCTGGCGCTGTTGGCAGACTTCTCTCCTCTCACGCACGGTTTGCTGGCAAACTACTTGTAGTTCCAACTGTTTTGGTGTTGCAGGGAGGATGGAGCGGAGTCTCTGGTTCATGAGTAGCCGTGCAGGCGACTTTAAGTTGTCCACGGGGGTGTTCTGGTATTCTAATAGGCTCAAGTAGGGATCCTTATGTTCAGCTTTGGCCTTGTCCAGTAGTTTTTTTGCTGTCTGGACAGTCTTTTCGGCTAGGCCGTTGCTCTGTGGGTAATGGGGGCTAATAGTGGTGTGGGTGAAACTCCATGACTTTGCGAACTGTTGGAACTTACTTGAAGCATAGCACGGGCTGTTGTCACTAATCACTGACTTTGGAATACCATACCCTGGCCATGGCTGACTTTAGTTTGTGGATCACTGCTTCTGCAGTGCAGCTGTGCAGTCTTTCCAACTCGAAGAATCTACTATAGTAATCTACAATGATGATGTAGTCTTCCGAGTTCCAAGTAAACAGATCGGTTGCTATAACCTGCCACGGTCTTTCTGGTATTGCATGTGACAGCAGGGGTTCCTTGGGGGTTAGCAGTTTGTCTCTCTGCTTTCCCATGCCTGGCCAAAACAGAAGGTCTCTAGCTCTGTTTTTACTCTTTTCTATGCCCATATGGCTGGAATGAATCCGATCTATCATGTCCTTTCTGAGCCTTTTTGGGATGATCATTTTCTCTCCTTTAAACATGATCCCATCTATCAGTGAGATCTCATCCCTGTGGTTCCAAAACTCCTGGATGTCAGGCGGACATTGAGACCTTTTATCCGGCCATCCATTCAATGTGGTCCTTCTCAGAGTGTTGAGCTGAGGGTCCTGGCCTGTTTCGTTTCTTATCTCTGAGAGTCTCTGATCACTGACAGGCATGTTGCTGTGGACTGTGTAACTCTGCTCATCCATTCCGTCACATAGTGATTTATCGTGGAACTATGGATTTCCGGGAGAGCGTGTCGGCTACCGGGATCTTTCCCTGGCTTGTGGATGATGCTGATGTTGTACTTTTGCAGCTGTAGTATCATCCTCTGTAGCCATGGTGGTGTTGATGCTAGTGTTTTTTTTGAGTATGGACTCTAGTGGCTTGTGGTCCGATTCAATGGACACATGTCGACCGTACATGTACTCGTGGAACCGCTTGCGGCCAAAGAGAACAGCATACAGCTCCTTTTCTATTTGGGCATTGTGAAATGCACTATACACAGGTACACACAGGTCTTTATCACCAGGTTCCACATTTATTTACAATTTTCCCAGGTTATGACTGAACACAGTCTGACAGCTGTCGGTCCCAGCTGAGTTCCCTCTGTCTCCGCTCCTCTCCGTCTCACTATAAAAAGGGAAGGAAACCATTATCAGTCCAAATCGCCATCAGCTGTTCTCACCGGCATCTCCAGCACCGCCCCGTTGAGCCCACTGCACCACTCCTCCCCTGCAGCCGCACCCGGGACCACACCTCCGCCACAGGCATAGTTCTGCTCGGTGCTGTTAAGAGACTTGGATGCGTAGGCGACTGGCTTGCCGTCCTACAAGCATCACAGCACCGAGGATGCGTCGACCTGGAGTCATAGCGCTTTCTTGGGGTTGAAGAAGGAGAGAACTGGGCCTGGTTCTCTAGTGATCAGCTCCTTCATTTGTTGAAAGGATCTGTCATGGTTCTTGTCCTATACAAACTCACTGTCCTGCTTTAACAGCTGGCGGAGCGGTGCGTTTAACTCTGACAGGTGTGGGGCAAATTTTGCTAAATAATTAACCATCTCCAGCACTGTTTCCAGTTATGCCCTGTTCTGTGGGGGCGCCATGTCTTGGTCTGCTTTTACTTTTTTTAGATCTGGTTTTAGTCCTTCATGTGGCAATGGGTGACCGAAATAACTGACCTCTTTGACGCAGATGATGCACTTGTCCGTGTTTCAGTTTTACACCACTCTCTCTCACGCGCTGCAGCATGGCCCTCAGGTTGTCGTCATGCTCCTGTTTGGTTCCTCCAAAGACCAACACGTTGTCCACTATGGCTGCCACGCCCCTCAGGCCCTGGTAGGTCTCATCCACGCACTGCTGGAACTCATCCTGGGCTGAGATTATGCCGAATGGCAGCCTAAGGAAGTGGTACCTGCCAAACACAGTATTAAATGTGGTTAACTGAGATGATTTGTGGCTTAGCTTAATGGCCCAGTAGCCTGATCTGGCGTCCAAAACACTAAAATACTTGGCCCCAGCAAGTTTTGTGGTGACATACTCCAAGGTGGGTAGAGGGTAATGGGGTCTTTGTATAGCCTTGTTGAGGGGTCTGGGGTCCAGACATACTCTGAGTCTGCCTGTCTTGGGTTTTTCCACGACAACAAGTGCATTCACCCAGTCCGTAGGACCTGTGACCTTGCATATTATTTGATTCATTTCCATGCTGTCGAGCTTGTCTTTGAGTCGGGCTCGCAGAGCGATGGGAATCCAACGAGGTGGGTTGACTGTGGGTGCGACGTCTGGGTTTACATGGAAACTGCATTCACCAGGAAATTCTCCTATCCCTTTAAATATGTCAGCATACTTGTCTAGTATTGCCTGCGAACTGTTAGCTGTCTTGTCTCTTTCCTCCG